TCTCAACATTCCAACGACACCTTAAAGTAGTAAGTGAGATGTTGGCTACCTGTGTGTAAGATGAACCTGAGTCATACTTGCTGAAGATCTCTTGACGTTCCTCACTGTTTCCTGTGTCTAAGTCATCTTGGTAGGAAGATAACTAAGAACAAAGAAATAACAACAACAACAACAACAACAACAACAACAACAACAGCAAAGCACATGAAAAGGAGAGCATGATACAGAGGAAAGAATTATTTTAAAGAAAACACACACTTTTTACAGAATTATAAGTCCTTTACTACAAAATCTCCAGAACCTGCCCCGTTTGCCCTCCTACATGCTGACACTAGGAGGATCAATAGTGGGAAAATAGTGTGCTAAATATTGGACTTCCATGAGATTTAATTTATTTCCTTCTTCACTTTTAATAATTCTTTTCAAGAACTGGGACCCCTTCTATTATTTTGTTCTTCCTAGAATCAATCGTTACCTCTTTCTCAGGTTTTACCCTTATGTTTTCTTTCAGTGCTTTTATTGCATGTGGTAATTGATTTCACTTAAGAAAAAAATCTAAATAAGTTTAGGAACACAAGTGGATATCTGAGAGAATGGCATTCTACACAGATAATGGGAAGTAAAAGTCCCCAGGTGGGAGTTTGGCAAGCAGGCTGATTGAGCTGCAGTGAAATGAGTAAGGAAGAGAGTGGAAGAGAAAGATCATGTAGGACCTTTTATATAGCATAGCAATTACACATGTTTTCTGTGTATTTTCAAAACAAGATAGAAAATTTAGGAAATATGAAAAAAAATGTCCTGATATTCCCTCCTGTGGTGTAGTCTTTTCAGTTTTAATCTGTCTTTGATTATCTCAGACACACTCCAGAAAAACATGCTGCTTCTCTAAAAGTATTTTTCAAATTACAAAATGTAATTGCATTTAAATTTTTAAATGTGTCAGTAGGTTTTATTCTATATCATATGACAGGAAACCCAATTCAAAAGTTTATGAAGAAAAACATAAGTACATGTTTATACATATTCTATGTATAAAATTCAGTTTTTGGCTTTCACTACAGTTCGATTGGGGACCAAACAATATCGTTTGGACACTGTTTCTGTTGACCCCACATGCTCTACTAATACAGGATTTCATACCTTCTTCTATGGAGATAGCTGCTATGACTGTAGTCTAAGACTGCCTCTCAGTCAAATCCAATGGGAAAAGACCAGGAAACTCTTTCCAGGAAGCTCTGGCATCTTACTTATTCTAAATGTGTCACATACAAATCCCTTCCTCCAAGCAATACTACACAAAGTCTCATTCATTTTATACACACAGGCAGGGGTATATGTCAGTGCTATAGAACTTGCTTAGCATGTGGCAGGCTCTGGGTTCCACTCCCAGCACCACAAAACAAAAATACACTTGATCTTAGCCAAAAGGCCGAGAAGCGATTCACAAAACAAAAATAAAAACTAAAACATTTGCTCTTTTTAGTTCTAAGCCCATGACATCTGTTTGATGCATAATTCACTGAGTCAGATCTATGTCTAATTTCTCTTGGCTACAAAACAAATGCTATATAGTACATTTAATTAATCCCAAAACATCCAATACACATCTTTTTTTTTTTTTTTAAGAGAAATAAGTCAGAAAAAGACAATTCTATCATAAAAGCTGTAGAAAATATAAACTAATCCATAGCAACTGAAAGTAGGTTTGAGGTTAAAGTTAGAAGGGAGAATTGGTGTAGAGGGATTACAAAAGGCATGAGGATATTTGGGGGTGGTAAGATAACATTTATTGCAATGATTGTAATGATTTCACAGGTGTGTGTACGTTAGAACTTAACACACTGTACACTGGAAATATGATCAGGGCCATTATATTTAAATTACAGTGGTACCGCAGTTCATGAACTTAATTTGTTCCACGATTTTGGAAAAGACGGCTACATCTGTGTTCGTGCGGGAAAGAAAGATGGCGTTTATCCTATGTGTTACCCGAAGTAGAATGTACAGACGAAAACAAAATTTTGGCAAACACTTTTGTTTGTGAACCAAACTGTTTGCAAAAAGTGTTTCTGAACTAAGGCACTGCTGTGTATCTCAACATGTTTTAAAAATTAAAATTTTCTTGTACATTCTTCCAGGTAATCTCTATATTATTTGTTATTTATTTATTTATTTTTGGTACCGGGGATCGAACTTGGGATCTTGCGCTTGCGAGACAAGCGGGGGAACCACTGAGCTAAATCCTCCGCCCTGTTACTTATTAAAAACTACAATAAACAGGAGATTGTAGGGTTCTTTTGTGTACATTTCTCTTAAAATTTTATACTGCTTTTCCATTTCCTTAAGTATACCTTATATAATTATTGAACATTTTGAAGTTTTGTATCCAGAAAAGAAGCAAATATCACTCCAATCAAGAAATAATATAAGGGGCCAGGAATTTAGCTCAGTGGCACAGTGCCTGCCTCGCAAGCGCAAGGTCCTGAATTCAATCCCCGGTACCAAAAAAATAAAAAATAAATAAAAAATAAGAAAGAAATAATATAAGAACACCAAGTGCACTCTTAACTTCTCCCAATAAAAACTTCATTTCAATTTTGAAAGCAAACATTATCTTGTGATAGAATATATTTCTTACAAAACTTCATATAAATTGAATCATGCAGTAGTATCTTTTGTATTTGGCTTTTTCATTCAATATTAAATTTGTGAGATCCATTCATATTGTTGCACATAGCAGTAGTTCGTGCACATACACTGAATGATAGCATTTAATTATGTGACTATGCCATAATTTAAATATCCATCCAAATTTTCATAATTTGAGGATGGAGTTATCAGAAAAAAATCTTGCTAAGAACACTCTTGTCTTTATCTTTTAACAAATATGCATTGTGAGACTTACTGGGTCATGTACATTCCCATCGCTCCCCAAATTTCTCCCATGCTCCTTTGCTTCTGCCATTTTAGGAATCCACTTATTTAATCTGTTCTGGGATTCTATGTAAATAACACTCTTTTGTTCAGAGATTCAGATGTAGTTGTTTATATATGTAGTTTAAAATTTTATTTGCTGAAGAACATTTTATTGAGTATACAAAAATATTCATTTACCTCTTGATAGACACTTGAGCTTTTTCCAGTATTGTTAGTGTGAATAAAGCTACTGTAAATATGCATATGTGTGTATGTGTAATTTATCTCCCTTGCTAACTGCATGGTCATTTGGTAATTCTACTACATTTAACTTGACAAGAAATTTCCACATTCTTGAACAAAAGTTGTATAAGTTTATCTTCATATCAGCAACATACTATAATCACATTACCTACTTGGCAACACATAATACTATTTTTTCATCATTCTATTGCTCTTTGAGTACTGTATTATTCTAGGCTTTTGATTAAACATGAATTTTCTAGTGTAGCTGGATAGAATATATTTTATCTGAAAGTATTTTATTCTATATACATACCACTTTATAAACTTCTGAAAGTTCAGACATGGGGTATGTTGACTTCCATTTGTTTCTCCTCGGGGTCTTGAGAATGTTAAAAGACAGGTCTGTCAGACAGAAAATCAAATGCTAAATATTTTGAAAAGTACAATGATAACAATTTTTCATTGTTATTATTACACTTAATTATCCTGATAAACTCACAAGGTAGATTCTTTTGCTAAGAGGACTTTAGGGGAATCAAGTTATCAGCTTGAGGTCACTACTAAAGGCCCATAGCTAAGAAAAAAAAAATAGGTTTCCTCTTTCACCTCCAAAGTTCTTCCTGTCTTTTAGGGACCTCACCCTCTCAGTTGTCTACATGTGCCAAGAGGGCCACTGTATTCTCCAAAATAATTTTGACTGTACTTTTTGTTGAAAACAGTGCTTGGAGGTTTTATGGGTTTGTCTTAGTATTCAATTCTTTCCTCTATAGGATTTTGTCACCTAAGCACCTATATGGGAGATTTTTCTCTACTTTTCAGCTATACTGAACAATCTTCCATGTCAAAGCAGAACTCAGCATATATCTAATGGGAAGAATCAGTATTGGGTTTGGACTTTCCTTGTGGTCACGACATGATACTATGCCATGTGACTATCCAAGAGATCTTCAAATTTCTCTTTTCTCCCTGTAGGTTCTCTCTGCACAGGACAAGCCAAATTTTCATTCCACACTCAGAATTCACAAATGCTTCAAGAAGGAAAGTACCTGAAAATAACTCTTTCAGGAAGGACTCTTCCCTCATCTGGATTTTAATTTCTGTGGTTCTCATTACTTACATTCACAGCTCTCCAATATATTTTAAGATATGCCTTTCAATCTATCCTTAAAAACAAAACAAAACAAAACAACATAGTGTAGCAATGAACAAGTTAGCCTGCCCTGACCTACCAGGTCCTACGGGAAAATACAAATCCTTTTTCATGCTTTCATTTCTAATGTTGATGTGTTAATGGTTAAAGAGCCTTGTAGTTGGGAATTTACAGAGGTTTCCTTTGTGGCCTCATACACAATCTACTCTAAATATTCCTTAAGTGTTAGGAAGGAATGCATATTGTGCATGTCAAATGTGAAATTTTACACACATTTATGGTCTGAACTTATTATGACTTATGTTTCATAATTAGCTTAATTTGCCAGGGGCTGTTCTAAGGAAATTAAATGTTAATATAGAGTACAGAAATATTTAAGATATGAATTCTCTTTATAATTTTACAAGGAATGTGCTTTCCTGACTTGTAGATGAGGAAACTGACGATATACAGCTAAACAACTTTCCCTAAGTTATACCAGGGGTGGTATCAAAATTTGAACCATTTCATTCTCTTAATCTGCTTTATGTCACTCATAATTGAAAATGTATCAACTAATTTAATGAATGCTAATCATAGCTAATAAATTACATGCCTTTTTTCTCCCTGAAGGCAGAAATGTCTATTATCTAAGTTTCAACATTAAAAAGCAAGTCAAAGTTTTAAAAAGTATCAATTTAATATTGAATATTTAGAAATATGGTACACACAGACACCATAGTAATATAAAATACATACAATTTTAAAATAACTTTCAACATGGATGGCTGACAGCTTCCAACACATAAAATTTTGGACAAAGTTACCAGATATTTTGAGGGGAGTTCATTTTAAATACCATTTAAGTCATGCGATTAGGAGGCTTTTTAAAAAAATAAATATGACAAATATATGGATTTCTGAAGTATAAATTGACATACAAATCTATATATTTTCTTAATATTTTTAATTAAAGCATCTTTAAAGAAGCATTGTATAACATGAAATTCAGATCTCAAATTAGATGTAATGAAAAGGCATGGGGTTTTATTAGAATAATGTAATTCACTCATCAAATATTTATAGAATAGCAAACACAAATTTCCAAAACAAAATTACATATTTACTTTATTCTCCACAGAAACTTCAGAAAACTACTTACTGGAATAATTTCAAGTTCCTATTTCCAAATGTTAAAAAGGAAACACACATAGGAGCAACTTGAGAAACTTCATTTTAGGTAGTGAAGGAGTAAAATGACACTGCTCCTTGGGGATTGTCAAAGCTTTGCTAGAACTCCTGGGGAGCAGAGTATTTTGCAAAGTAGTGAGAATTAACTCCATCCATTTACCAGGACACAAATCTGTGACACTTTCTTTTCCAAATTTAACAGATATCCACAACTCTGGAACCATGGTTTAGTGAACTAAGCTTATCTGTCCCCTCCATCTCTTCAAAAAGAAAGCTCTCAAGGAAAAAAATCCATTACTTTTCTCACCTGAACAGTTTGAATAGAGTTTTTATTTTGAATTTGTAGATGAGACATAGTAATCTTACACATAAGCAAGTGGATGGAACTTGAGATCTTCCTTCAAGGAATATTACTTATCAGAATATACTCCTTTGTGGAACTTAAATCATCAAAACTAAATTGGGTTACTACTGATTTAAAAACTAACACGAGAGACAGATTTTACTGAACTAATTTAGAGCAGTAGTGCTTAACAATAAGAACAAATCAGAATCAGAGTATAGGAAAAAATTTTGAAGCATGGCTCCATCTTCCAGAACTTCAAATTTAACTAATGTGGTATCTTTATTGAGGCTCCTTGATTTGAACAATAATTAATGACTTGGGATGGATTTGATTTAAATAAATTATTTCAAATTCAAATACATGAGTACTTCCTATTCAACAGACCCTAAGGGCTAATAAGGGCTTTCCATTAGAAATCATTGGATAACATTAATATATACTTTTATCATGTGAATACACAGAACAATTCATTAAAATATTTTTCAAACTTTTATTATAGTTTGCTATCATAAGATTTCCTATTACTTTCCTGAACTGTCCTTCACTTGAAACTGTACCTGAAGTGATCATACTCAGAAACTTTTCCTCAGAATATATGGAGAAAAAATAATAACATAATTTCATTTTTCAAGTCACAGTATATGAGGTATTCTCCACTTTATATATGAAGTCACAAAGCCATAATTTAAGAACTGAAATTAGATTCTGATGTTCAACAGAATCGCTTGGGTCACAAATTAATACCCCTGATATCAGTGCTTGCTTTAAACTGCCTTTAAAAAAAAGAGAGAGAGAATGAAAGAACAAAAAGAAAAATCTATGCCAGATCCTCTGGGAATTCAATAAGCCTAGGTCTTTAATGCAGACCATATTTCTTGTGACCTATTTATAAAACATTTCTTTAAAAAAGTTATAGGAATATGGTTTCTGAGATATATATAATTAGAAATTAGTTATCTCAAAAGAACTAAAAAAGTTTTCGAAATACTGCAGAATTAGAAATTACTTATCTCAGAATAATAGTTTGAGCTTTAACATTTTAAACTAAATCAACTTCATTAGGTATTACAAAAACTCATTTGAAATATATCTTAACTCAAGAAAAACAAATATTTAACACATTTGTGATTTGTATCTACTTTTAACCTAACATTTTTCCAAATTTAAAATTGCCAAAACCAAATGACACATTTATTAATCTGTTATTAGGTTATTATTTTTGTAACTGGAGAAAGGCCAAAAATGACATGATTTTGGTTAAACTATAATATATATAGCACATATAGGCAAATACACTAGGAATTAGTTTTCCATACTTTATAGAATTAAAATGGCTTTAAAATTTTTATGAAAGCTCAGTAGTCAAAATAAATATTTAATAAAAATATATACCACAAGAAGATATCAAGAATTTAGTGTTAAAAATAAACTTTGTCACATTGTTTTACCTTCAGTTAAACAGAAGTGAAGTTAGTGGCTTAAAGTATCTAAGAATGATTAAGGTATGACTTTGGAAACAGAAAATTAAAATTCAAATAAAATCAGAGTCAACATTAAGATGAAAGAAAAGTTTACTATGTTATTTCTTAAAAGTTTTAAGTTACTGAGGCTTCTAAATATGACTATGCCCCTAAGAAACAAAAATTTGCAAGTAAAGTGAAAGAACAGTCTTGATTATGTAGTCCATGTTGTGACACTTGATGTGAAAAAGCAAAATACAGTATTCATGAGCACCATTAGAAATATGTATATGTACATATATGGGTGTGTGTGTACAAACCTTACCTTGTTAAAAACTAAATTTTAGAGTTAAATTAAGGACATGTACGCAATTATGAAAATACATTCTTAAGGTAACAGGTTATATGATTCATTTTAAAACATTTTACCCAGCATTCCTTCTAAAAATCAAAGAATATAACATAAAGAAGCCAGTATTCTTTTGTAGTGCAAAATTCCTTGGTTTAACAGAAGAATTGCTGAAGAAAAAAGTGTTAGTAGGTGTTTTCAACCCATCACAATGTTCCAAGAGGTAAGAGGAAATTGAAGTAGGTTAATAAATGGGAATTCACAGAATAAAAGTGTATGTTGGATATGTCCTCAAAGGATCATCATTCAGCCTCAAATTATTTTAAATTCAGAGTAGTAAACATTATCTTGCCAAAAAAATTCTTCTTTATATAACAGAAGTTGCAAATTTGTCACTTGGTATTTGATATTTCTGCTATATTCACCAAAACTAACAACTTCTGCCATATCTTGTATAATGCATATCAGGGGCCAAGACAGATCTTAAATGAAAAATCTTACTTTGATCCCATGTAGAGGCACCTTGTAAGACAGTTACATGTCCATGATATTTTTCAAAGCTCCCAGTCAAGGAATCACATGATAAAAATTAAAGTCCTTTGATATCATTGTCACATGATAATAATGTTATTCCCCATTTAAAATACGTTCAATCTCTTCTAGTCTTTTTAAAGCAGCAACTCTTTTCTTCTCAATTTCTTTAATATCTTTTGTTTTTTGAGGCACCTCTTTGTCTGTATTTTTCTGCAATTGTTTGTTGGGTTTAGACTGACTTTTATCATCACTTGTTTCCGTTATCTGTGTTGGTCTAGACTCACTTCTGATTTCCTTTACATCTTCAGCTGGAATTAAGTTTTCTCCTTCTTCATCTGTATTCTTCCCAGGTGGGAGTACTGGCTGTTCTACAAAACCAGATGAGATTTTATCCCTGACTATATTCAAATGGCGCTGAATATATTCTTCATGTGGTGCTAATGACAATGTTTCAACCAGACATCTTTCTGCTTTTAGTAAGTCTTTCTCTTCAAAATAAACAACACAAAGATTGTGTTTCCCCTGGACATTGGTTGGATCCATCTCTAAGATTTTTTCAAAACATTTTTTTGCTCCAAGTATATCTTTCTTTTGATTCATCAGAATGTCTCCTTTTAAAATGAGACCCTTGATATGGTCAGGGTAGTATTTGAGCAACTCTTCTAAAATTGGCAGAGCCTTTAATTCCTTTGCAGTCTGAGAATAGAGGAGAGCCAGATTAAACAAAGCACTTCTGAAGTTAGCTTGTAATTTAATGGCTTTCTTCATCCAAATCTCTGCCTCAGTGTCCTTTTTGTCATCCATGGCAAGCATCCCCAAATTGAAATAACCATTAGCATCTAATGGCTCTTCATTTACATAGTTCAGAAGTCGTTTTCTAGCTTCAGGTCTGAGTTTAACTTCACCTAAGGATAGTTGTATTTTTTTAAAGAAAGATACATTATTAAAGACAGATATATTATTTTAAAGAAAGATATATATTAAAGATATATTACTATCAAATGAATTAAGTGTGAGGAACAGAACCATTTTCAAACATTTTATTAGGTTACCAAAAGACAGCACCAAAGCAACTAATTTCTATGCCTAAATAAGCAGACAGCAAAAAATCTGTCTTCACTGGAAAGACAGTGCATTTGAGACACAGAAATGAAAGATCATTTTCTTTCATTTACAGCATTAAGAATGCTTCTGAAACTAAAAGGAGAAAAATTTTATAGTTTTATAATCTAGGTAATAAAGGAAGAACAGAGAATTAAGAGGATGCAGACTTAAGATCTCCTAAAAGACACTATTCAATTTTGATTCTGTTATGATTTTATATACTCAAAAAGTTATTTAACTTCTCTGGATTAACTTACTCAATTTTCTAAGAATTACGTGATATACAGTATATATGTATGTTTATATATGTGTGTATACACACACACACACACACACACACATCGAGTAGTAGTTATAATTGGAAAACAAAATTTCAGAATACTGAATCAGATTTTTCTGGTATGTAACCTCCAACTTTCTAGGAAATTTCAAGGGCAAATAAACAATTAACTTAAAAGCTATAAAATTAGAATTTGAGAAATACTGAATTAATTTCTATTGCAAATAAACAATTTTTTTCAAGTTCTACAACTACATGTTTTAGGGTATAATCTATATTGGAAAATAATTCTTTTCATGATTATTAAAGTTAGATAACCTTACAAAAATATTAGGTTTTTTCCTAAACACATATTTTTGAAAATTAGACATAACAACCTTTCTCTATTCTTTTAAGTGACATGATGAGTAAGGGAAATTTAAAAATAAATTAGTTGGCTTCAGCTTTTCTTTTGGACTAGATACTAAAGTAGTCATATGAAGTCAGGGTAGTCATTGGATTTACTTGGACATACTTTCTAACCTGCCCAGGAGCACACAGGTAAAGGACACTCAAAGGTCTTCGTTAGCTCTAAAATACTGTAATTTTTATGATTCATTCATTTTTTGCAAATGTTTTAAGAAAAGTATCCAGGAATCAACTAGACTTGAAAATAAAGATTTTTCCATCCTAAAATTACAAATTATAATTACATAACTGCTTTGTGAGAGAAGTAAAATCCTATATAAAATATGGATCAAAGATACAGATTTACTGAGATTAATGACTTAGTTTTGCTAAGTTATGGAAAATTACAATATTTCAGAAAACTTAGTAAAACTAAATATAAAAATATTTACCCAAAATATTTTCTCTTGTAAATCAAAGGAAAATGTAATACTTTAAAAAAAACAAAACATCATTCTCCTGGTTCTTTAGACCTAATTATGGAAAACAATTTCACAAGTTCATATTATTTAGACAGTATTTTTAATATGAAAGAAGTTACGTTTATATGGATAACATGACATAATAGGTATTAAGAGACTGCCTGAAAATTTAGTCTTAACACATACTAACAGAATGATCAGTTAGTACTCTCATATTTTAGTGCATGTTACTTGAAAAGAGTTTACTTCAAGTATTTTAAATGTTCTTACTGTAAGTTATTTATCAGCTACTTATGTATTTATAAACTAGCCACTCATAAAATGTTTGCTATGAGAAACAAAGTCTAAGTTAAGGTTTTACTGTATACCAAGTTACATTTGAATAAACATAACAATATTTTAAGGAAACATACCTGATTCCTGCATTAATATAGCAGAATTGAATAATGCTAGCTTATGCCTTGGATTTAGTTCTAAAGCATGATTGAAGTTTTTTAGGGCTTCATTTGGTTCTTTGAGTTCAATATACACAATTGCCAAATTGTACCAAAGATCTGCATTATTTCTGTCCAGCTCTAGTGCTTTAAGATATGCTTCCTTTGCTTTGAGAGGCTTATTCATTTTTAAGAGCAATTCTCCCCTGTAGAAAAATCAAACATACCATTATTGTGTTAGTTTGTAGAGCATCTTTGATTAAGTTTTAAGACTTTTAACATATAGCTTTCTTTTCCCTTTTAAAATTTGACTCTCAAAAGTTCTTTATCAAAAAACTGTTTGCAATTGCTCTCAAATCTGTAAATTTGGGTGATAAGAGTTTCAAATATTCCTAAAGGCAGAAAAAGCCCATCTTCTCTTAGGTAGGATGTAGGCAGGTATTCAAAAGGGGACAGAAAAAAAATCTATTCTTTGAATATATCTTAAAAGAACACAGACTAACCTGCATCAGGAAAATGACAAATAATCAGAGTGGAACACTGGTGAATTTTTCAGGTGATAGAGCATTAGAAGAAAAAATATAGAGTAGAAATTCCCGTCTTTAAATCTGTGATACAAATTTAACTGTACAAATCAGCAGAACATTTGCTATATGGTAATTTTTTTTTTCAAAGTAATTTTGGGCTGGAGATTTAGCTCAGCGGTTCCACCCCCTGCTTCACAAGTGCAAGGTCCCGAGTTCGATCCCCAGTACAAAAAAAAAAAAGAATAATTTCATAAAAATAGATCTGATAGGTAGAAGGGCAACAGTGCCATCTAGAGATAGCTTTGAGGAGTACATCTTGAATGGGGGATTAGTTTGAAAATCACTGTATCTTTCCAATATGGTTACATTTTCTGTTAGAGAACTTTAAAAAGTTACTTTGCTTAAAGAATATTTTTACTTGACCAGTCATAGTAAGATGTGAGGGCACATATTTCCACCCCTTTAGAGGTGTTTATAATCTTTTTAAAAAGTTTTCTTACTTGTCTTAAATGTTTGCCATAAAGTAAAATATGTATTTACTTGCCCTTACAAAAAAAAAAAAAGAATATTTTTACTAATGTTCTCATAAACAACTTCTAGGAGTGAATTTAAGATGTTATTTTTTTAAATACAGAGATTAGAGAATAATTCTGGATTAATACATGACACAGAGTTCTGGGTAAAGTTAAAAAAGGCAAACAATTTAAGAACTGATTTTATCTCTTATAAAGTTAAATTTTGAATGTACTCTCCCCATATAAATAGTGTTATAAATTATGATTTGGTTTCCTGGCCATGGTACAAAACAACATTTAACATACATTTTTCCTCAAGTATGCAAATGATAATATTTACATGAGAAAATGCATCGTTTTAATATGCGATGCCAGAAAACTTTTTTATTGATAACCAAGAAGTTTTCTTTATGGCAAAGACATCTATAATCAGTCAACTCTCAAAATTTATTTAAGTATGCTCCCGAGAGTTGGGTAATTGTACAATCTATTGTACAATGTAAGCTCCCAATGTTTTAAATAGAAAAAAAGAAAATGGTTTTGATGATGAGACGAAAACAAAACTAAGAATGAGCTTCTTCTCCCCATTCTTCTACGTAGAATATGTTGGCTATGGCAAATTAGGGATTCCCTTGTCAATTTCAATTCAATTAAGTTTGACTGTCAGTGTAAAACAAGCCATAATCTTCTATGTACTTGGTTGCCCAGTAAGATTACTACAAGAAAAATGTGCCCATTTATTCAACATGTACATGCAGATGCAGCTTCAATCTTCTACAATGATAGCTCTAATGTGAACTATGATACCTGCTAATATAAGCCTGCTTGAAGTCAGGCCTCATGCTGATTGCTTGTCGGTACAGCTGATCTGCTTCTTCTAGGCGGGACTCATTTGCTCGGATCAGGTTGGCCAGATTGATATAAACATTTAGGTGGTTAGGGGCAATTCTGGCTGCGTATTTTTTACCAGGAATAATCTGTTTAGAAGAAATGATATTATTATAATTAGATATTTTAATATTAAATAAAAATAAAAAGGTTGTTTTCTTAGTAGCTTATTTAAAATAACACAGAACCCAGAGACTATAGTGCCAGCTTTACTAATGGATAAAAAGAATATAAAATGTGAAAAAAAAAAGTGTAGTATTCACAAAATGTTGTGGCCTTACAAGACATATTTTTTTCACTCATGCCAGCTCAATGAACTACTGCTAGTTTATTATCTTTCTATGCAGTTAGGTAAATCAGAACCTTTAGAGGTTAAAGTCTCTTAGTCTCCATCAGAGCATTTCATGCTGTCAGCAAAATATTTCCTTAGAGCAGTTAATTTTATTTTGATGTGATATTAAAAACTCATTTGTTTGGTAAAGTTAGGAAATAAAATCCTCTAATTTTCAGGTTGAATGAAGATGATTATATATAATATACTTGGATCCAAATTTTTTTTTTTTTTTTTTGGTATCGGGGATAAAACGTGGGTCCTTGCGCTTGCGCAGAAGCCGGTGAAACCACTGAGCTAAATCCTCGGCCCCCTGGATCCAAATTTTTAAGGAACACAATAAACTGTGTGATAGAAATCTATAATAAATATAATTTAACTGTAGCATTTTAGTATGGAAATAATTCTTAGGCTATTATATAGTACAATTTTGTATTTAGAAATATTAAATTACCCAATTATTAATATTACTATTATTATAAATATTATTACAGTTGAGAAATCTGTAGCCCAGGTTAAATTATCTTTTCTGATGACACACAGATCTTTCATTTTTGATATTGCACTGTTGTATCTGATGAATCTTGTACTTGTGCCATTATAACTGATGAATGCAATACAGCAAGAAATACATCCTCTATTTTATCACTATGTTCATTTTTTTTAGATAGCAATGTTAATTTAGTGCTTACAGTACATAAATAAAATTTTCATTTAAAATTATTTAATTCATGATAATCAAAAATATCTACGGTTGGCAGCTGGGGATTTAGCTCAGTGCCACCCTGGCTGCCTAAGAAGCACAAGGTCCTGAGGGTTTGATCCCCGGTACCAAGAAAAAAAAAAAATTTACTCTTCATATTCTAAGATTAAGTATTTATAAATGGGCTACACATAAAAATAATTTTTTAAAAATTAAATGAGCAAAAAATGTAAATGTACACTTACAAAGACTGCAGAAATAGAATACTGATTAGAAATCCTATTTTTACATCAACAAACTGAAGGATTTTCTATCTAGATAATCCTACACAATATGGATGTATAGTAGACATGACACAACAGACACATTCTGACAACTTACTTGAGGCATTAGTGACTTAGCCATCATGTAAGATTCTTCAGCTTCTCTAGTTCTATTTAAATTTTTGTAAGTTCTTCCTACATTCATGTGAGCACCAATATCATCTAAAATTAGAAATAAAGCACTTGTTGGCAATTATATTAAACAGTGTTCCATGTAAAATACTAAGATATGCTTCTAGAAACAAATACACAAAGCAAAAATGCAAGAGCAGAAAGAAGTCCTGCTTTCTCTTTGAAGTTCTCCTTATACCACTCGTTATGATGGATGACCAATGATGCACTATGAAATTACTTAAAGCACTGTAAAGACAGAAAACACACATGACACAAAAAAGCTATCTGAATGGATCTTTGAAAGGCTAAATCACATGAGAAGGTAGAGGTAATGATGACATTTACATCACTTCTGTTCATGATATTTTGCTATACTATACAATGGCTTATTTCCATTTCCTTAATCTCATATCTTTGGAATTCAATTAAATAATGTAGCTCATTTATACAAGAAAAAAGAATCATCATTATTCCTAAAACTAGAGTGTTACAACTAAAAAGTACGCACCAAGAAAGGATAATACCAAAAAGACTATGAAAAAAACTTTTGTGATTTACTTTTAAAAAATTTTTGTGAATGCGACTGGAATGAGATTAAATGGAATATCAGGATAATAGTATTAGGTAAGGTTTGTGGTCTTTCTCTTAAATGATGATATACTCCTAATATATCTAAAACTTTAAAAAGGTTGTGTTAATATTACAATGTCAGGAACTTACATCTCACTATCTAAGGTAGAAAATAAAATCCCTAGCAAATTTTTCAGGCAAAGACAAAAACACAGTATAAATAAGAAAAATATGGGGACTCAATGGACACTAGTTTTAAAAAAGATACTCCCCAATAAATACTTCAAAGGTTTAGATAATGATAAAAGGAAGAGATATTTAATCAGACAGTTTTTATTCAACATAAGTATCTAACAAACATGACAAGTTTCACATTATGATTGCTACTTGCCTGCAACACTGATGATTTTGCAACTGTGGAATAGTAGTTGTCTGACTGCAACTCCCAGGGCACAAAGGGGCAAGCATATTTAATCTTGGGCATTCCCCTAGGAGGAGGCCAACAGTCCTAAGATCTTGCTACATTATGTCTCAGGCTACCAACTCTGTGCATTGCATAAGAACTGGCAGATTTAGTGTAATTTTGGTTAGAGGTTTAAAGGAAGGAAAAGGTTAGGTGTAAGGGAGTTGAGTTTTTTTCTTTTTAGATGTATGGCTCAATTTTATGAAGTCAGGAGGGCATCAAGCAAAAAGAAAAGAAAAGAGCTTAGGCTGGCTGCAAATCAGAATACTTGTGTAGTTTTAAAAATTTAGACACATTAAGATCACCAAGCTCCATCAAAACATAATCTTCAGAAATAAAACTGGCAAAAAGTTAAAAAGTTTCACAGGGAATTCTGATGTAGAGTCATGGTTGAAAAAACAATTGCATTACTAAGCGCATATAAAAATACAGAGCAGGTAATCCTCGCCTTTAGAGAACTGATTCTTTTTTTTTCATATCAACTAAATCTGTAACATTTGTTATAAGGATCAGAGAAACTTACTTAGAAAGAACTAAGGATATATAGAAGCTGAAAAATTTAATTATACAGTATGAATTTAAGCTAAGGACAAATAAATGAAAATATGGATAAATGTAAATATAATTATGTCTCCTGTGTGTTTAAATGTCATTAAAATCAATCAACTCCAAGTAAGCTTTGAAAAGAAAAAGGTTGTATTTAGACAAAACCATGAACCAAATTACTACCCAATGGAATCAGGCCTTTGAATTATGGCAAAAAGATATTGTCATCAATGTAGACTTCAGATATTAGAATAAAGTACCTCCACTTTCTCAAAGAACGAAGATAGTAAGTAGACATCTTTCAGCATCAATATAAATAACAAAATGTGATGTAATTTCTAAGCAATTTTTTATAAGTTACAAAGTTAGAAGACTTCAAAGGGTTAAGTTTAAATTTTAAAAAAGATAAGAAAAGGTGACAGGATGAAAAAAATTAATGACATTTGCAACTAAAGAGCTAAGGAGAATTTCAAATAATGAGCAGGAGAATTTGAGCAGTCTGCCTTTAACTCAATGTAAATGAGGATCTCAAATGTCAAATGTACTCTCAGTCTGTCAATAGTTTCTCTGACAAACTCACTTTTTTAGAACCCTAGTTGAGTATTTTATTTCTTCTCTCTGTTCAAGCATCTAATATCTTTTTTTAAAAATGTCTTTTTATTTTTGTCATGGAAAGGAGATTAGGAGCACTTATCCCACGATGAGGCTTCTTCATCCCCACCCCAACAAAGAGCTAACATCTTGGATGGGAGCTGAACTGCCTCCTAAGTGAGAGTGGCTTTCCCAGAACCTGGAAGAATCACTCTGGAGATACAGATCCGCAAGAACATGACTTGACCAGGATCACCTATGCTGCCGGCCATGCAAACCCCAACAGATCTACAAACTCCTACCCTTTGCCTTTGTTCTTCTATAAAACCCCAAAGCTTATGTTAGTCCTTATGGCAGTCCAAAGACACATCTTGGATCTCTTTATTCTCCATGATTAACTGACAATGATTAACTGAAGCTCCTTTCTTGTCCTTCACCGCTGCTCATCTCCTTGACTGATGTTAAGGAATAAGAGGCCAGGCATGGTCTGTTGGGACCCCTAAAGCTGAGGCTTTTGTCCTAAAACTGGTAAAATAAATGCACAAGATTGTGCAAATCACATGTGGATGTTTATTTATGTTTACCTGTTTATTATTGTCTATAATCATGGAGACCAAATATCCAACCCCAAATATATTTCTCTGGCATATTTTGAGTTATCAGATTCTTTAAAGAAACTGAAGACTTCTACAGCCATAGGGATAGTTCTAAAATGCTGTCCTTCTATAAAAATAAATTTATATCTATTTATATTAGTAAATAGAAGGTGGCAGACAGAAGCTTTTCAATCTGATATCCCCTTTTTGCCCAGGAATGATCTTTTTACAGAAAGAGGAGATAGGGGTCTGATACCTGGCATAGAAAGAATACCTCAAGTGGCTGCTACCTGGGAACCCCCCGCATAACAAGACAGCCCTTTGCTCACTGTGCACCTCCTCACCTGAAGCTTCATTCCCTCCATAAAGTACAGACTCCTCTTCCTTTTGCTAAGCTCTATAATAAGATTCAGCCCCTCTCTAAGTCTCCCACTGTGTGTATGACTCTCATGCTTAGGCATGCAATAAAATTCGTATGTTCTTTTCTTGTTTACTTGATAAGACTAAATTTACCAACACTTCAGAGAGAAGAGTAAATTTAAAACACTTCTACAGTACCAGTATGTAGGACATGAGGAAATTTGTTTTATCTGCCACTGGATCTCCAGCTGGTAAAACAGTTCCTGGTATATGGTAAATTCTCAAATTCATGGTCAGTGAATAAACCTACGGGGCCCTTTGCTATTCGTTCTCTTTTCAGCCTTCTTGGCTATAGCTTAGATCTGGGCCAAAGGCCCATGTGTTAAAGGTTTGGGCCTATTGGGAGGTGGTGGAGCCTTTGGGGGTGGGGCTTAGCAGAAGGAAGTTGGGTCATGACAGTGTGTCCCTAAGGAGATGGTGAGACTCTGGCCCCTTTCTTTCTCTCTCTTTGATTCCCGGAGGCCATGAAGTGAGCAGCTTCCTCTTCATGTGCTCCCATCATGATGACTGCCTTATCACAGGCTCAAAAGCAACAAGCCAACCACGGAGTGAAATCTTAAAAACTGTGAGCCAAAATAAACCTTTCCTCTTTTTAAGTTATTAATCAAGTATTTGTTATAGTTATAAAAACTAACATTCCCTGTATCTTATATTTTCACTTGACTTCTCTTTCTCTAGTTTCACTGAAAATAATGTTATTAGTATTTACCAGCTTTTATTTATTGAGCATATACTATAAGTAAGAAAGTGGCTTAAGTCTTTTTTAACCAGTATTTAAGTTGATCTGTACAGAAGACAAGAGATTGTTATTCTTCAGAACTTATAGATAGAAAATGATGTGACTGAACTGGATAAAATTCAGTCCAAATTTTTAACTATGCATAACATCACTTATCACTTTTTAGCACCACCCTGGTTACTTTCTCCCTTCTTCCAATACACAGTGATGATACAGTAAAATGATATGGCATTTTATTTGCCAAATTTACCTATGAACATAGCAAAAACCCCAAGGAACAAGTCCAGAAGCCTCTTAATGTCACATTTAATGTTTCTAAATTTATTTGCTTTCTTTATAATTAATTCTAATAAACTTCATAGCTTCCTATTCTAGATTACTAGGAACAGTAATTCTGAATGTGTGATAGTTAAGTCATACTTAAGGAGATAAGTTCAGCAAGTATCTCAAATAGTAATAAGTGACAATTGACAATAATAGGGAAAATTTTAAAAAACTGAGTGCCCCATCTACAACATCCATGACACATACTGCTTAGATAAAATGTGTATACATACACGCATATATACATTTCTAAATTTATTTTTTAGTAGTATATGTTCACCATACATAATGATCACATTCATCGCCCACATATACATTTAATTCAGTCTTACAAAAATGCTGTGAAATAGAAATGAACTATTTCAATTCAGAAATGACAAAGATGGGTAAAGGGGCCTAAGTAACATTTTACAGTCTTAAAGCCCTTTTGTGTCTAATATTAAAGATGACAACTTCTCTAAAAACCCTAAAATTAATCTAAAAGACTTTAAAAACTAATGAATCAAAACTACTCAATTTAGTGATTGTATATAGGCTCTTAAAACATGACCCAGGGGTAAAAAAATGGATATTTTGTTACCCATAGAGATCTCTAGTTTAAATAATTAAACATTTTAAAGAAATCAACATTTAAATAAATAAAGTACTAAATAGAAAATTATAAATATCATAGAACAGGCAAAGAGAAAGGGACAGGACTGTACCCTATATTCCAAGAAAAACTAACTGACATGGTTATGGAAAATACAACTGGGAAGATAGACTAACAGCTATATTTCTATTACTTTCTGCTCACTTTTCACTAACTTAAATTTGGCTTTGTCTTGTAGACATGGTTAGACTGTGCCTCTGTGCCCTGGTGACTGTGTTCTTTTTCTTACCCTTTGTAACACTGAGGCCTAAAGAAGAGTAGGTGCCCTCCTTGATCTCTGCTGCCACTCAGACAATTCTCATTCTCATCCAAAAGTTGGATCACAGATCCTGGCTGCCTACTGCTCTCTTTAATGTCACAGGTGTCAAAATTTGGAATCATTCTAAAATCTAAACAGATTAATATTCTAATGCTGAGGCCCTGATGTTCCTTCTTACAACGATTTTCATCTCTTTCCTACCTTATAGGTCAATGGACATAATTATACTACTAGAAAAAAATGGGGCCTATCTACTACTTTGCACTCCTCTGAGAATATTTAATGTGTGGTGGTTAGTTCTAGTTGTCACATGGCATGGCAAATAAATAATATGGAATTTGGTGGGTGGGAGCCACGTTTGGTACATATCCTGTGTGATACACTTCTGCACACCTGTAACACCAACGGCACTTCTTACTAAAAAATACTGCTGCTCTACATACACCCTACTCAGACACTAAGCATTCTTTAGGTATCCATTAATCTCCGGCAATCCATAAATCTTGTCACTTTCTTTCTTCATCACTTATCATCTCTCACATCCCTTCTGAACCAATTTAAGAGTCTATAATCACACCCTTAGTCCTTTCTTGCTTAGTAAAACACATCTTACCAAGTCTTAATCCTTTTTAACTGAATTTTTCATGCATACATTACCACCACAGCAAAAAAGTAGCAAAACAAAAACATAACCAAACCAACTGATTTAATTTTAAAGTATTACTTGTTACAGCTGCCTGGCAATTATATTGTACTATCCTAGTCTATATATGTTCCTAGATCTTTACTTTTCCAAGGGTGATACGCAACTAACCATCAACTGGGAGCTTATCAGAGATGTAGAAATTCAGGCTCTATATAAACCTACACCAGGATATGCATTGTAATAAGATCTCTAGGTGATTTATTATGTGCACATTAAAGTTTGTGAAATACTATCTCAGAAGACTATTTCACATCTTCTCAACTACTTCTCAACTTTGTACTCCAAGAATTTAGCTTTCACTTAAAGCACAAGAACAAAAAAGAATTAAACTTCACAAGCTTCCTCCCCATTATCTACTTGCCTGCCTCTATCCACATCCACATACTGTGCATTCCCTGTTACCACAGTGTTGACTATCATCCACATTCAAGTGAAATCCTCACCTTGTGTACCATCTTCTATCTCCCCTCCCCTGTTCAAGGACATTGATCTAGTTATTTGTCCACCCCCCTTGTATTACTTTTTTGCACTGGATTATCTCCAAATATGTTTTCTGTCTCCCACCTTAGAACAGAAAGCAACAACAAAAACCCTATTATCCTACCAACACCATCTTCTCTCGATCCCATACCTAGCACTGCCACTATGTCTTATCAATACACTTTAACAATTTTCTTAACTGTCTCCAATTATTCCCTCCTATTGTCCTAAAACTCACTCTTATCTAGCTTTTGCACCCACTACTTCATGAAAAGTGCATGAGTACCATCCAACAATTATGTCTTCAAAACACTTCTTAAATGCTTGATATAAGTGGTTTCCCCAAATAAAATCCAGTTTTTTTCAAAGAAAATAAACTACTCAATTCACTAATAACACTTACCTGGCTGAACGTGGGTAGCTTGTAAGAAGTATTTCAAAGCTCTCTCAAAGTTCTTTTCATTTTCCAGAGCATGACCAACATTATTCCATAATTTGGCATTATTTTTATTTACCTTAAATACAAGTGAAAATAGAAATGTTATAATTTAAAAGAAAGACTCTGATTTAGACAAATTATTTTAGTCTACTATCAAGAATGGAACGTTCCAGGACATGTTCTGGGCTATAAGGAAGAATCCAAATGAAGACTGCTTCATCAAATTTACTCTTCTCTTCCTCTCATTAATATACTAAGGCAGCAGTGCGATTTCACTCATTTTATTTATTAAATTGTAGTAAAATTTTATCAAAGCATAGTGCTGTTTGAAAACTGCTCCTCTATTTGTATTCTTTTAAGGGAGAAGGTATTAGAATGAGATTATATTTCAATATCGCATTGACAACTTTTTAGGCTTGATGTGTATTTAAAGCTATTCAAGTAGCCTACTGTGGTAATGGAAATTTTGGATTAAAGTTCTGAGTCAATGTGTACTTTCTGAGGTCACTGATGGGTATGGTATTTTTGCAGGTAGAGGATATGCAGTCAAAAAGCTAGCTACATGTACTAGCTGGGGCCACAGGTTTTAACCACTGGCCTGGAAGTGAGGACAATCAAAATTCCTAAAAATTATGAGGCTCCATTAATATCCCAGAAGCACAAACTGGTAAGAATAGTACAGAGGTTTTGCTTGTTTGCAGAGCTGAGAAAGTGGAGCTACTGTGTGGCAGAAGAGCAATCATCTGATCTCAGGTAGATGTTAAATCAAGAAGTAACATGGATTGCTGGAATGACACAGCAATGGAGATAGGTAATGGAGAGTAAAAAAAAGACAAAGAGAAGTAAGAATTTAGAGATTTGAAGAAGGGCAGTGGTAGGGAGAGACTGAAAAAATCTTTGGTGATAACTCTTACAGAAAATACATGTGTGCTTCTTTTTTCAGATGTATGTTATTCATTCTATAGAAATGCTACATCACTCACGTCTACCAGTTCTGATCTTTACCACAGCATCGTAACCATTTGTTATTGCTTGCACAGTACCTTTCAAAACCATTTTTGTTGTGTATTTTATTTCACTGAATCTAAATGCATCAATTATAGAACCATTATTTTATATGCCATTAAGAAAGAAGGCCACTAGTTACTTTTGAGATGCCTTTCACTATAATACTTATTCTTTTCTCCTATATTAAGTTAAAAATGTTCATCTTAAAAACCAATGAAATACAGTATTCTATTTAAATATTTTATCATGTGAACTTTTAATAACTGAAGATCCTTCAGGGAATTGCTCAGTATGCTTAGGCTACACAGTTAAGCACTATTTGGAGAATGTGGTTAAGGTATATATTACATAGAGAACAAATTATTTTCATTAATTTTTTGGTAAAATACTTTATATTGACAATTGAATGTATGAATTAAAAATAGCCTAGAAATGGCTAAAAAAAAATCATTGATGACAGATTTTTGTTATTCTGAAGAATATCTTACCTTCAAGGCTGACATAAATAATGTATACTCAGACTCCCAATCCCAATTTCTGTGAAGTGTTTTTAAGGCATGAGTAAGTATCACCACTGAGAGACAGGCCCAGGATAGCTTTTTAAATGCACTGTTTAAGAGACCAAAAAAGAAAAAGTCTGTATCCCTGAAAGCATTTTATCTTTTACAAGAAAGGTAAGAAATACGGTGAAGATTCTTGTACCATGTTTGTATTTATTCTAATTCATTCTAATGATTATCCAACTTTATAGAGGGAACCAACACCAAAACAATTAAATATTATGAATATGATCTTCCCATTCAGTCTTCAATTACACTACACACGGGGGATCGATTCCAGGATCTCTGCTCTATAGGATTTTGAAATCTGAGGGTGCTCAAGTCCCTTATATAAAAGGGCACAGTATTTGTGGATAACCTATAAACATCTTATGTACTTTAAAGCATCTCCAGGTTACTTTAATACCTGAAATAATGTAAATGTTTATACTGCTTTAGAAGCAATGATAAAAAAGTCTGTACATATTCAATATGGATGCGATTTCTTAGAAAAAATATATTTGATCTATAATTAATTGAATCTGCAAATGCAGAACACCTAGATACAGAGGTTGACTGTATATTCTATTATTTGCCTTTATTATAAAAGCTTTGTTTAGATTAAATGAAAATAACTGATCATGATCAGTTTTTAATTGTGAATTTTTATATTTAGTCTTTTACATTCATACCTACAACTTAGATATTACAATCTGTGTCTATGTAGCTTATCTCTGGCTATATTTAAAGTTTTTGCTTACAAATAACATCATAGATCATCATGACATTGAGAATTATTTTATTTTATTTTATTTATTTTTTTAACAGAAAGTTGTATTTAGTTTCCAGTTTTGCTTCCATAACAAAAACAAAAAATAAGTCCACTCAAATTCCAAGGAAATGAAGAAATAAACCAAATGAAGATGAACATCTACAACAATCACCATGAAAAGCATTTGCATCACAGTCTAAGAAAAGACTATCTCAGCTGGGCATGGTGGCGCACACCTGTGATCCCAGCACTTGGGAGGCTGAAGTAGGAGGATCACTGTGAATTCAAGGTGAGAATAATTTTATAGTGTAAAGTCTGAATTGTCTATTAAAAGGCATAGTAAAATTAACTCTTTATAAGATAGATGTAATTGCTCATACAACTTTTAGGATAATTATTTGAGCCTCAATTTCTCATTTATAAAAAGATGATTCTAAAATAATCTTTATGATATCATCTAGCATTACTGTCCTCTGAGTTTGTGTTCTTGACTCTACAACATGGGTTTAATCTCTTGCATAATGACTGATCCAGTTAACCAAAATAACAGTATGGATCAGAAATAAAATGGTCATTGAAAGTAGGAAGGTATAAATCTGAACCAAGGCTCTCCTGTTCACTAGCTGTGTGATCTTGTGTAATTCAGGTCACCTGCAAGAGCTTCAATTTTCGTATCTGCAAAATAGAGTTGAGGAGTGTCAAAATTAAATGAGAAAATAAACCTAAAGAGTATATTATGATTCTTGGCACATGGTAGGCACTCAAAAATTGGTAGTGATTATAGCTGGATATACGGGGAGAAACTAAGATAAAAGATTTGGTATAGATAGGAGTAAAAATTACAGAAATGATTATCTATGAAGAATATATAATATGACAAAAGTGGCTTTTAGTAAAACACAACAATAGAAATATTCAAAGATAAAGCAGACCAAGAAGAATCTGAACAGAAATGAATAGATGTGGGGAAAGAATCAGAAGAGAGACTTTTTACAGAAATGAGGGAAATGACAACAACAAAAAGTGTTGAGGATAAAGCTCCTAGCAGACAATTTGCTAGTAAAGTGATAAAAAGAGTAGCAGAATCCTATGTGTTGAAGAGCGACTGGAAAATGAGAAAGTGACAGCAGTGACCATTTCAAGTTTAAAACTAAATCTCATATTACAGTGTTACTATTATTTAACCATTAACAATTTGCTTGATTTGGCAGTTTTAGAGAGACAGTGTCTGTATACAATGGGATAATTATTAGAATGACAGTTTTTAAGCATATTGTTTCTTAACTGTTAAAAGTAATGACACCAAGATAATGATGAAGACGGTGAGAACAAGAAATTATAAATTGCTTACTATATGCATTTTATATATATCAAGAACACAATATGACTCACTTAAATAGGATGACTATATCTTAGTTCACTGCCTATGAATGCGGAAATGGTTATTTGTGACTTTAGCCTCAAGAATATCCTTGTTTTCATTTGGGTCTGAGTCAACGTTTGTTCTGCCTCAGGATGTAAAAAAAAAGTTACATAAGTGTGTGCGGGGGACACACAGAATGTGTACATTCTGGGGAGCTTTCCTAATCTGAATTATAGACAAATGAGTCTATCAAAATGAAAAACCAAAAGGTATAAAAGTATGACATAAAATTGAACTAAATACAGATTGAAAATACTTTTATGCACCATAATTTTACATTTAGTAAATAGTAAATGAACTAACATTTTAATTCACCTTTTATTTGAAATTTTCTGCCATCCATGGGCTACCAAAATACAGAATCCCATGCTAGGAACATATAGCACTCGCTCAGCAACAACAAATCCAACAGGAAAAAAAAGGTTTGATGCAGGAATAAAAGGTAATGCTATTAAACAAAGTGCCTAGAAAGAAAAAGAAGATAGCTTATTAAATTAAAAAAATGTATGGATTCTCAACACTCAAATCTGAAATTTTATCATTTAATTTAGATAAATGAATCTGGGTAACATTTTAAATAGTAACAAACACCAGGATTTGTGCAAGCATGACGAAATGGAAATCTTCTTGAATTCCTCAACTTAAAATTGAAGGACATCTATAGATTTTCTTTGAAAACAATATTGCTTGATATGTTTAGGGATGATTTCTTAAAATCTGAACCTTTCATAACATTTTAAATCTAAACAGCTTAATCAGTTACCTTTCACTGCTTTTCTGTGAGGAATACGTCTTTGTAGTAAAATACAAAAACTTATTACTAAAGGTAAATATTTACATCTTTAAAAAACTGAATACGGTTTCTCCAGATAAATAAAAAAGAAAAAAATTGGAAATGTAACTAAAACAATGTATTCAACAATAAAAAAAATTAAAATATGGACAAAAAATGAGTGATTACTCTAAAGACATACAAATGGCTAAAAGATATATATTTAAAAAAGCTCAAAATCACTATCACAGAAATACAAATTAAAACCCCAATGAAACTCTGTCTCACTGAAATTAGAATGGCCATTATCAAGAAAACAAGTGTTGGAAACCACGTGGAGAAAGGAAAGCCCTGTCCACTGGTGATGGAAATGTAACTTAGTATAGCCATTATGGAAAACAGTATGAAGTTTCCTCAAAAACTAAAAATAGAACTATCATATGATCTAGCAATCCCACTAATTGGTACATATCCAAAGGAAATAAAACCAATGTGTTAAAGAGATATCTGTACCCCATGTTTATTGCAGCATTAGTCACAACAGCTAAGAAAGGGAATTAACATAGGTGTTAATGAAAGGATGAGCAGATACTACATATGCATAATAGAATATCATTCAAGTTTAAGCAAAGGAAGTACTGTTATCTGCAACATGGATGAACTAGGAAAACATTAGTTATGTGAAATAAGGAAGTCATAGAAAACTAGGTGTGATGATGCACATCTGTAATTCTAGTACTCTGAAGGCTGAAGCAGGAAGATCCCTGAAAATTCACGGCCAATCTGGGCTACATAGTGAGTTCAAGTCCAGTTTAGAATACATAGTGAGATCCTGTCTCAAAAACCAAACCAAAAACCAAAAAAGAAAACAGAAAGACAAATACTGTATGATTTCATTTAAAAGATTGATTTCACAGAAAGAGACTGTAACAGTGTTTATTGCGGGGGGAGACGAAAGTTTGGGAAGATGTTAGCCAAAGACCATAAAGTTGTTTAGGATGAACAAAAAATTTTTAAATTAAAAAATGTTTACACACTAACTTTTGTACATGTGGCAAAAATAAATTGATAAGGAAAGATACTAATGGGGCTTTCAACAGAAAAAAACTATAAAGGTTGACAACAAAGACAAACATGTAAATTTTTATAACTTTGCTACTATAAGAAACCATGTAAGATTGGAAATTGAAGGGATGGAATAGGTATAGCTCAGACAAGACAGCAGAGTTTAGTATACATCAGACAAGACAGCAGAGTTTAGCATACATATAAAAATAAAACTGCTCCCTTTAAATCAGTGGTTTTTATAAAGTAATTTTTAAAATTCATAAAGTAAAAATATCACAAAAGTTCAGATTTCTTGGCTTTGTGAAAATGGGACGACAAATGGTTTTGTGATTGTAAAGCAAAAAAAAAAAAAAAAAATTAACATATGAAACACCCGTGAAAGGATTTAAGTTTGATCATCACCAGAACATCTATATCTACGGACACGTTTCCATATTTTGTTACCCTAATTTGTTTTATAGTGCCTAATTAACCCTCCAGCTTCAGAAGTTTGAAAGTTCCAATGCAAAGAATGTCTTTTTCTTATCATACTTTATTAGTGGAATATACATGTACAGATATATACTTTGAATATTTTCTCTACAAACATTCACACATGTAGATTTGTAATGAGGCCATACTGAATGTGAGGGAAACTAGTACCATAAAACTTACCACACCAACTTATGTCAGTATTTTTGAAAAATAAAAAATGCAAAACATTAAAGTATGCATAATTTTCAATTCCCAGAGATGCTGTACAAAAATAATGCCCTTTTAAAGCAGTTTCACTTGAAGGAATTAAAAGTGTTAAAATTCATTCAAAGATGCCTCATAGGCTGACATATAAGCTATATCAAAGAAGAGAAACAATCTTTCAGGAAGCTTATATAAAGGTTCTGAGGTAAGAAATGTCTCCAATGATCAGCTTAAGAGTCATAATTAATACTCTTTATTAATGTATGCCAATCTAGTTAATTATGATTAAGTTTTTATATCCTAATAATATAAACTGTCTTTAAGAGGAAGTGTTAGTACAAATAGCAAAAAATTAGATGAATCTGTCACTTTTTTCCTATGTAACAAACTATACATATAATCACCTTAAGACTATAAATAAAATGGGGATTAATAACTACTTACATTATGCTGTTGAGATATATCTGACATCTTATTTAATAAATGCAAAACATGGCAACAGTCCTTGGAAGATATTCCTTTACACTACTTATCCCTTGCAGAGATCCTCAGAAAATACCACTATTAAAACCCCCCAGCATGTTTTAAACCAGGCACTGTGGTTCTTGCCTATAATCCCAGAAGTCTGGGAGCCTGAGGTAAGAGGATTGTGAGTTCTAGTTCCACCTGGGGAACTTAGAAGAATCTTGTCTCCAAATCAAAAATAAAAAGAGCTGGCGATGTAGCTCAGTGTGAAGGCCCTGATCCAATCCCCAATGCCAAAAAAGACAAAATATTTTAGAATACACTTAAAGTAGAATTATACTCAATGTTCATTTCTTTGGCACTGTTGTGTTTTTTATTAAGCATACACTATATACATCATTATTTTATTTGCCAAAATTTAATTGTCTTATCTCTTTTTTCAACCTTTCTTTTAGCTTTGACTGCATTCTACCATTTATCTATTTGTCTGCATTTATTTGAACAGTAATGTACTGTTAGAAAGTCCCAAAGCTAACTACAGTAGATAAATATTCTCATAAATTCATGATCCAAAACTTCAAATCAATCCTTAAGATTGCTTAAGGCATCTAGTTTTCCAATAGGTTTGATTGTAGTCTTTTAGATAGTTTTCAATCTCAACTGCTCTGACACTTTTGATATTGCCTAATTAAGAGAATGCTGAAGCCATCAAATAAGAATTTCTTCAATTCCTTGGTACTAAACCTACCAACATCCACATTCATGGTCTTTGCTGTCTTGTCATAGAAGAGTTTTCTCCTAAGGTCAAATCTGTGCACAGTATTCCCCTGCTCCTCACAAACCTCAGTATCAATGATCCCTTCTCTCATTTATTCAACCACTTTCTAATCAACTTTATTCTTTGTACCTAAATTTAAACATTCTCTTGGCTCTCTAACCTTAAAAATTGCCTTCATCTTTAAGCTGAATTCCCATTATATCCCTCAGGTATTAAAACAAGTTCCTAAAAATCACAAAAAAAGACTGTTATACCCATGGTAACAAGTAGTTAGTCTTAAATTCACTTTAGTCAATCAATATTTCAACTTAATAAATGTTTTTACAACCCAATCCATTAGCAAATCATGTGCTTCAAAAAGACAGCTTAACACTCAAATGAAAATGTTTCTGGTATCAACCAATCAACTGTTTCTGACATTTAAGTAACTGATAGATTATAAGAGGGCAAATCCAAGATAGCACTTTTCAACTAGATTTTACTTTTCTACTTAATAGTATCTATTAGTGTTAACAACTCTGTCTTTCCTAAAGCATTTTCCTATCTTTCTGTTTATTTGATAATGTCTTCTATTCAGGTTCATTCTTCTCTATTCAAAATCTAAATATGGGAGTTTTTTAAGGACAAAGTTGCAGGCTTCTTTTTTCACTCTCTTGAGCAAGCTTAACTGTTTTTGAGGGGATTAAATACTCTAGGGCATTCATAGTAAGCATGAATTAACTTTTGTCCAATGTTATTAAAATGGTACTAGGTAGTACCATCTTTGAGAGAAATGACAATACCTTGTTTGAAAAAAAGTTGCTTTTATAACCTCTCCATATGCCATCATTATCTACATTCTGGATTCAATCACCACCTTTATGCTATGAATAAAATTTTTAAGTTCAGGTTATGCATCACTCCTGAATTGCAGGCATAAAGTGCTATTCAAAAGCTCTACTAGGATGTTTCAAAGAAACCTCAAACTCAACATGTCCAAAGGTAATAGTAAATATCATTTTTTCCCCAAACCCTATCCTGTGTTCTTTCAATATTCTCTGTATCTCAGCCATTGGCTACAAATTTCTCTATAATTCAAGCTCTCTGGAAATGGGCACTGGTGTTTTTAAATTATCATATCCTCAGTGTCAAAAATGCTGTCCAGGATGTAGGCTACAATCATAAATTTCTACTGGATAAATGAATCTAGTGACTACCTAAAAAAGATATATTTGTAAAGCATGTGCTTGCTAACATATAGTAAGTGCTAGAGAAAATGTTGCCAAGTTATTAATCTGTTGTTAAAAGAAGAAACGTAACTCTTGTAAGAAGTGAGGGCCAAATAAGAAAATTACAAAGAAAAATAATTCAAAAAGACAACAACAAGGTTTTTTAAATGATCAGGCATCTCTGAACATAGTGAGATCTACCTCAGAAAGTAATAAAAAACTTGCTAATGAGAAGACCTATGTGCATTTTTTTCAGCTGCGTATTTCATATGGAACTTTTCTCCATGAAAGAAAAACAAGTAAGTATACAATATAACAAGTTTCTTTTCTTTTTTTTTTTTCTTATGGGTACCGGGGATCGAACTTGGGTCCTTGTGCTTGTGAAGCACGCAGCGGAACCACTGAGCTAAATCCCCAGTGCTATAACAAGTTTCTTTAGATGTGCATAACCTAGTTTGATAAAGCTAAGAAATATAAGACATGTTGAATGTATACAACAATATATGCCTGAAAATCACATTCTGATATATACATATTATATATGACATGACAT